CGCCCCTCCCCCCTCTTCCCAGCGCAAAGCATAAGGCTCACGTGCGGAGTGAAGCAGAAAAAAAGTGCGAGAGAGGGTGAGAGAAAGACAAAAAAACTCCACGGCTCCCAATAAGGAGTCGGCTCGCGTCGTTCACTTCAAAGAGACGGCTCTAAGAGCTGTTTTGTTCGCGACCGATACATCACTAGCCTGCAGGTCCGAGGAAGCTGTGCTCTCTCCTTCCTCTTTCACCCTCCTCTTCCTCACTGATGGACTACAAACACTGACTCTAATAAAAGCTGACACTCCTCCCTGTGTTACCATGGTGACACAGTGAATGTGTTTTAATGAGCTGACGTCAGATATTCAGATGTTTCCTCTCTCTAACACACTCAGCGTCTTCCTGTTTCCTGTGTTTGTGAGCTGAACTCCAAGTTCTTCCTCTGTGGTTCTCCAGCTCTGACCAGGCTTCAGGTCACCTGTGATGACGGCAATGGGCAGAAACTGCCCAGCGCCGTGTGGTTGTGACCACAACACACATAATCATCATCATCATCATCAAGTGATTACAGCACCAGTACCAACAGGGGGTTTGAGGTTGGTTTATGTGAATATTAAAGACAGTCTGAGTGAATCTCCGTACGTGTGAACATCGTTACTGTAGCTCAGTTATGTCTTCGATTAGAGACAAACTGGTTTTTAGTGAAATTAAAACTGAGTTTAGAACAGAAATAATCGATTAGATCAGCTACAGAACCACAATGACATAGAATGAACATCACAACGTCACATATGTGACTGAGCACTGAGACGTAGAACAAAATGCCCAGAAGAGATTAATTTATTTATTCCATCGTTCACATTTTACTAACGTCTCAGCTGCACATATCAAACCACAGGTGCAGGCACATGGCCCTGCACTGCAAATCGTCACCTGTGGGCCACAAACAGTTTGGGTCTGAGAATCAGCGCCGTGTGTGACCTGTAACCAGGGTTTGTAAAGGGAAGTGGCTCAAACAAACAAAGGAAACAACAAAGAGGTGAGTCCGCCCTACAAGACTCCCTCCCAATCATTTGTACTTCACCCTTCGTCCTTCACGGCAGGACGGACTCACCAAGACAAAATGATGTTTGAATCAAAAGAACAAAAAAGGACAACAGAGGCAAGATTATCAGTGAAAACCTTACACCATAAAAACATTTCATTAAACCGTTTAAAATAATCATCGTCACAGGAGAGCGCTGACCTCAAGCACCCACAACTTTTCCAAAGTTCCTCCTTCAGGTGGCGCTAGTTACAAATACAAACAACGTTACATTCATTATATTCATTTGGACGCCTCCATCATGTTTAGTTCGGATATCTGTGTTTCTTTAGGACACATTTTTCCTCCATATTACCTGAGCAGTCACATGACAGCAGGCCTAACTGGTCAGGTGAGAACTCTGCAGATCCTGGACAGGAAGTAAAGACCATCTGTGGACTGAGGAGGACTCTGAGGGTACACCTGTGATGATCTGAGGCTGTGTCCCAATTTAGGGTCTGCACGCTTGAAGTACGCGCACTACGCGTACTACGTACGGCGCATACTATAAGTACGAGAAGTGCGGAAGTGAGAGGCTTGTGAAATGGGACGGTCTAGCCCTTCGTTGCGCTGTTCAGGTTGCAACAGGTTCAGCAACCATGATACTAACCGCGAGAAACGTTACATACAGCTTTGT